TGCTGACTCACTCAGACCTCACTTCTTTGCAGCTTACTACACAGTGATCATCCTCACCAAGGCTGTCTACTACTCCACCTCCCAGTCCCCTTGTCTTCTTTCTTCATTTAAAGGCTATGGTCCATTGTTCCAGTCTTTGTCACAGTCCCCTAAGCTCATTTGGCCTTCCCTCTTTACACCACATCATGTAACAGGTTTCCAAGCCTCAACAAATGAAATTACCCACCCTCTGCATGCGCTATTCAAACAAATGGGAGCATTTGTGTATTCTAGACACATACTTTTATACCCATAGGTATAAAATGTGACCATAGCTCTCACCCCATTGACTGTAGCTCTTCATCTGGATGAGGCCTTGTGAAACTCCCACCACCCACATTGCCTTATCAGCTAGTGTTACCATTATGCTGGTCCTGTTCCACGCAGCCATACTGTTGAGATATCATGGGTACAGTATCCCTGTCAAGTCTTGGGGGCCAAGAACTGTTTCAGGACAACTGTGCTTGTATTTAGGGCTCCCAGATGTATGGGTTAATGTCCATTGCTTTCTTGGCCATGTTTCTGGCACTACCTCGTCTCCAGTGACTGTGTGCACAGGTAAAAAACTTGGTCTCTGGTGGATCTCAAAAAAAAAAAGTCTTTTAGATTATGTGGCCTTTCCCTAAGTATAATGGGACAGCATTTCCTTACAGCTTATTCATCCTTGGTGGGAGCACATCTCCAGTTCAAGGTCATCTGAGGTTCTGAGACACTGTCTCAAAAAGGAAGCATGGGGAGGGGGAGAATGGATGAGAGGAGGGAAGGGGAGTTCCGTACAATCCTGCTGCAGTCTGCAAATCTCCATGTAATAATGTTTCCAGCAGAATCTTTTTGTGCTTGTACGGAGGGAGCAGTTTCGTGATTCTCAAAGTGCCAGCCATGCGGCTACAGTGCTCTTCCCCAGGTCTGTGCTTTCCCTCTGCAGCCTCTTGGAAAGCCCTGCTGACCGTTTCTCCCTGGTTTGCACTTCTTTCTCTGTCCTGAAGCTGAGTTCCTCTCTCACCTGTCCTATTGTCTCTATACTACTTGAACTTATTCTTCTACTTATGTGCTTGTTTATGATGGGGGGGCAAGTTGTTTGGGTTTTGTGTGATTTTTGTTTTGTTTTTTGAGGGTTTTGTTCATATTTGAGACATGGTCTTAGGTAGGCTGGCTTCAAACTCCCTATGCTGCCATGCATGACTTTGAACTCTTGTTTCTCTTGTCTCTGTCTCTCCAGTGTTGGGATTATAGGTGTGCACCACCACACCCAGGCCCTGTTTATACAGTGCTGGCTGGCGAACAGAGCCAAGGCTTTGGTGTGCTAGGCAAAGTCTACTGACTGAGCTACTTTCTCGTCCTTAGTTTTAAAGCTCTGTGAGATCAAAGTCCGTGTTTATTTCTCATCATTATATATTGAACACCAGAGCAAAAGTCTGGACACATAATAATTAATAAATACTTAATAAAGTAGTACTTGGGCCAAATATAACAAAGAGAATCTGTGGTAATGATTCTGGGGGAACAGAAAGGAAATCGTTTTGTGTGGAAACGTGATGAGTTTGAGTTTGTGTATGTTGAGTTTTAGAGCACAGCCAGGATCCTGAGTTCAATATGTTCCAGACATTCACTCTGGCAAGATACTCATGCAGATTTGGGGGTCATCACCATGAAATTTTTTATTAGAAACAGATGATCTCTGGCGGAAAGAATGCTATCTGAGAACTCACAGACAAACCCTTTCAATCAGAAACAATCGCAGGTGCTTGGAGCTGTCAATAACAGTTTTTTAAAAATATAAAAAGAAAAATTAGAAACATCGTATATTTACAAATCTGTAAAGATTTTGTAACTAGGTAACTATTTCTTTATATGTAACAATAGTGATTATTTCAAAGTATTTATGTTCTGTTATAATTACTTCCAAATCATCATGAAGAAATAAAATCATTACCATTGAAAACCAACTATATCATAATCATATATTTGTGAATACCAAAAGAGCTCTTTCATGTGAAGTAGGCTATTTGTATGTCTGCCTTTACATTAGATAGTGATTGTGTTTCTATTACTGAGATACTACAGGGAGATTAATGACGGTCAGCTTAGTCCCCAGTTCTACTTAGAGATGATGTTACGTTCTGAAACTTTGATCTTTTAAAAATTAGGCACTTATTTTTTCATGGCAGAAAATATCATTTTTATTTTTATTAGTCATGTTATTTGACAATATTATACATGTACATAATGGACTCTGATTATTCTCTCCCCCACACTATCTAATGTTTCTCCTTTCTTATCAATACCCCTCCCCATTCCCTGTAGTCCCTTCCTTATAATCATGACTTTTGGGATGGTTTTTTGTTTAACTAGAGTCATTTGTGTTATCACTGGATTAAAACTGCCCACTACAACCGTATGGGGTCATCAGTGGGTATGCAGCAGAAGGCAGTGACACCTCCACCCTCATCTCTCTTAGCAAATAGCTCAACCATGAAGGGTAGGGTTCCCTGAGCCCTCTTCCACCTGATTGTGGGTGGACCATTCTTGTGCAAACCCAATGCAAGTGTCCACTGCTGCCATCTTTCTTCCTGTACTGACTATGTCTTCCCAGAAAGTGACTTTTTTGTAGCTACTCTCCCTATGTTTTACCTCTTACAGTCTTTGTATCCCTTTCTCCAATATACCTTGAGTCTAAAGGGGTGGTATAAATGTATTCTTTAGGGCTCAGAAAATGAGTTCTCGGCCAACTCATATTTAAGTTGATCATGTTGGGGCTGACAAGGTGACTTGGTGGGTAAAGGGTTTCCCATGCAAGTTTAATGACCTGAGTTCAGCCTCTAAAACCCACATAAAGGTGGAAGGAAGTAATGCCACAAAGCTGGCCTCTGACCCCCAATATATGCTTTGTGTACAAGCCCCCACACACACGCATCCTGCACACACACACACACACACACACACACACACACACAAACGATGATAAAGTCTAAAACTTTTTAATAAAAAAGACCATCATTAAAGTGTACCTCTTTCTTCTACTTCATTAAAAAAAATGCCTGTTACTTGAAGAATTGGAGGAACAGATGGAATTGTGCCAGTCAAACAATTCACCTAGCAAGCAAAAACCTTAGTCATGTTACGACAGTTCTCCATGTCCCCAGTAGCTTGCTATTTTCCCCAAAAACTAATCAGAGTGCTTCTGTCGTATAAGCCAGGTCCTCACAGTCACAGTCTTCCTTTGAGGGAAAGGGCCTCATCACTGTCAGATGAATTTGACTATTTTTTTTTACAAAAAAAATGCAGAAAGTGTAGAGAGAAAAGACTAAGTAAAAACTCAGTCTTGTAGGGCAGCAACAGTGTATCATGGCTGGTCGGTGGACATGAAAGAACACGTACATTGGATATCACTTCCTGTGTCACAGGATGTCACCTCCAGAGCTTTGCTTGAACTGAGTTCTCAGAAGCTCTGACCACTACTAAAAGTAGACATTCATTCATGAAGAGAGGGTAGAGACCCCAGAATAGCCTTGTTGATGTATGGAAGATAAAGGTATAAAATTTTGGCCCACAGTCTCAGACTGGAATCAATATAAGTTAAAGTCTTTTGTTTTTTTTCTTAAACACACAGACACACACAAACTCACACTCATGAGTGCGCACATACACATAGCATAATACCGTCTGCTCAAGGAAATATATTCTCTAAGAATTAAATAGTAATGAGGCAAAGTTTTATTTCATTCATATTGTTAAGCTTTCCCTGCATGTTTTTTCTCCCCATTGCTGATATCTGAAGGACTAAAAGTCAGGTATTTGTTGTTAAGACTCGGGTTACCTAAGTAATGCAACCCTTTTTTTTTCAGTGAATTAATGTATCTTATACCTATCAAAAGAGCTGTGATAACCCAGTGTTATAGAGCTTATTGGAAAGGTCAGTTAAACTTTTTAGCAATAGCAATATATAAGATATAACCCAGTGATAGAGCAGAATGGGTAGAAACCATTGCACTCTAAAGGGATGCTACCCACAATCTAGATGTAAGAAAATATGGCAGCCCAGCCCGCTGACGTAGGCCTATAATTCCAACTAGTTAGGAGACTGAGGTAAGAGGATCTCAAGTTTAAGGCCAGCCTAGGCTACAGAATTAGTCAAAATCCAACCTTGCAGTCTAGTAAAATCTTACCTCTAAAAAAAGAGGTTGTATCTCAGTAGTACAACACTAATAAGTGGATGCATAAGCCATGGGTTGAAACCTCAGAAAATGGATATTAAATAAGGAGAGAGAGAGAGTGCACAGAACTCCTATATAGAATATGCCCCTATGTTGCCTGCTTACTTCATTCTTTTTAGCTAACTATTTTCAATCCCATTACAGAAATGGAAGCTAAGTTTAGCAAATTGTTTGGCCCTTTATGTTAGTGCACAAAATCCTTAATTAACAAAGAAAATGCCACCATCCATTGTAAATCACTTTACTAAACTTTCAAACTTAATAAGGAATCTTGTCTTGTCCAAAAGCTGCTTCTCAAACCCCTGCTGATCTGGCACTCATGCCCGATTCCCTGTGGAGCTGAGCGAAAGAACGGAAAGGGAGCCAATTAAAGAACCTTTGAGCCAGAATAGACAAGCAGAGGCCATCTTGTCCATCCTTCTGCCTCCAGGCAAGAACCATCCTCTGCAAACACCAATTTCTGCGTGAATCCTGCTGACAAAAACGTTCACCACATGTAAATGATAAGTCATAATCCAGTTATTGCTGCTAAAGCAGATTGTTAACTGTTCGGGACTTTATTTATTGTGGTGTAAAGATGCTGAGTTTCAGAGTTCATCTGAATTGTCTTAATTCTGCCTTTCAAGAAAATAATTTTGTGCAAGAAATGCACTCAGATAATTGTCAGCATGGGGGAGATTGGTGTCCAGAAAATAAAGTTATCTTCATCATCTTATTAAATGTATTTCTGGTTTCCTTTCACTCTAGGCTTACCTTACGGGTGGGAGGAAGCTTACACAGCAGATGGAATCAAGTACTTCATCAAGTGAGTACAAGCCTCTCAACCAAGTAAGCAATTTTGCTCACATCTGGAGAGAACCTGGAAGTTGCAGAATAATCAGCAAAACCAAGAAACACTCTTGGAGGTTACAAAAATTAGAAACAAGAAATGAAACCTCACCATCTTCATTTCATGTTATTTAAATGCTGATATCAGGTGTCACTGGAGGGGGTAAAACCCAAGTGACAATTTCCCCGGAAAGAACCAAAAACTGGAACAGAATCGTGATTTGAACCTGAATGTTGCCTGTCTGGACTCACTTGTAGGACGATATTATTACCATTATTGAAAAGTTAGTGTCTAATTAAAAATCCATTTGTCGTGCCCTAAAACAGTACTGACAGCAGTCACTACCTTGAAATGCTGTACAGTATACACAGATCGTTCTGTTTACTGGCAGTATTTCTGGACATTAGCGATGAAATATATAGACTGCGTACCCAATACCATACAACTCATGTAGTCATGAGAAATTACAGGGAGTAAATGACCTAAGATATAAATAGGACAGTATATGAACAGCCTAGACACCAGTGTGGTAACAGTGACCTTTAGGGTATGTGTACAACCCTAGCATTTTCCTTAATCTGTAGTTGTTGCCAAGAAATCCACAGCTGTTGTTACCAAACCAGAATCAAAAGCAAAGTCTCCTGGCCCAAGAGCTTTCCTATTGCACTAGACTGTCACTCCTGAGCAGGAAGACCCTTGTGCTGAACTGGATGGTTTTTCCCTAAATACAGTGTTCTGAATAAGTCATTTGGTGTCAGGGCCAGTGTTATGAGAGTTACAAGGGGAAACTCACCTCCTGGCAGGGATTCCTAGAAAACCCCTTGTACATCCTTTTGGCAGATGCTATGAGAAAAATGCCCTTGCTGTCCTTTCAAATGCACCCATACTTATCAAGCAATATGCAGATTTTGCTTTACTAAACCCTGTTCTTCTACATAGGCTCCTCTCTCTCTCTCTCTCTCTCTCTCTCTCTCCTTTTTGGTTTTTCGAGACATGTTTCTCTGTGTGTAGATGTGTGTAGCTTTGACTGTCCTGGAACTGGCTGACCTCAAATTCACAGACTTCCGTTGCCACTGCCTCCCAAGTGCTGGGATTAAAGGTGTGTACCCTCACCGTCCAACCTTATATCTCCCTTAACTTCATTTTCTCTTCTGACAAGGAGAGTATGCTACCATGGTAGAGCTGCTGATGTTAACTGTCAACCATGCATCCTGACTGCAGGAAATGACTAATAACGACTTAGCATTATTTTTTTTTATGGAAAGACTGTATCATGTCAAGAAAGCACAAAGCCTGCAAATCATCATCTTAAAAAGATCATAAATTCAAAATTTCACATTTGTAAAGATTTAAGGAAGAATCATAGATAAACCTGGCAGAGTTTTCCTGGCTTGTTTTCTCTTGTTCTGTTGGTGAGTGATGAAGCATAATTGCAGCTTATAGCATGAAATAGAGAGAAGTCTTGTAATCCTATGTGTAGATCACACTCAGCAGCCCACTGCTCACTTCCAGAATCATTCTCCTGGAGACAGACCTACTCTCTGATACACTGCATTGGCCATGCCTGGTTTACATCAGATTTCAGCTGATACTCAGTGGCCAGGAGCACAATAAAAGTATTTGTCCATACGTTTTCTTATGTAATCCTCTTACTAATGTGGAAGGTCATTACAGAGGGTGTCATGTTGATGACATCATGTCATCATGGTGTCATGTTGGTGATGACCTTCATCTTGCCCCTAGCTATGCCTCTTAAAAGGTCCTCCAAGGAAAATTGTCATCCAAAGAAGAAAAACTGAGATTCTGCATTCAGGGGCCTTAGAGAATGCCCAGGTTTGCACCCTGTAGAGAGTTCTTTAACCTATGCTGAGCTGTCTGTCAGTGTGTCCTACTGATAGCTGAATGGCAGGTTCTCACTAACGCTCTGTGAGGAAAGGGTACTGAGGGCAGAGTTCCGTAACACAGAAAAAAAAAAAAAACAGACCCAGATATGACCAGCCAGAAAATCAGTTTGTCTCACTGCTCCCCAATTGGATGAGCCACTGTTCCTTAGATAATGGAACAGCTTTTAAGCCAAACTTCTACTACCAAAAGGAATAGAGCATAAAAGGAGTGGACCAAAAAAGAAAGCCAGCAAGCTGTGGCCACTCCAAAATCTAGCTCAGTTCCTGTGGATAGAGCTAGAAAGATAGAAAAGAGTGGACGTTTACCCAGCCTCCTTTGTTCCACTCAGAAAACAGCCCAAAGTGTGTTCTGGAAACTCATATGCTCTTTTCATTGACCTTAATCGTGCTGTAGGAGGAAAGCAAAAAAGAAAGAAGACAGATTTCTTTTCCAAAGGGCATGGGTGGGTATCATTGTCACATTGCTGCAGCAGAATAGGCTGTCAAAAGAGGTTACCTTCAATCAAACTGCAGGGTCCAGATTCAGACCCAGTGTTATCTGGCTCCAGAACCACCCCCACGTTCACATTGGGCTGCATCACACCGCCTTCCTTGTCTTAAGGTCATCTGGTGAGAGGTGACAGGAAGGACATTTTAAGTAGATGTTGACTTAGGTAGAATATTATACTTTGTCCATTTTAAAGTAGCATAGCTTGCTTCTAAGAACAAGTAGTAATCTTCTGTAGATTGGAAGGTCAAAGAGTAAAAGGTCAAAGAGTAAAAATAAGAAAATCTAACTCTATCCCAGCCCCAACCTCCTAAAGGAGGAGAATGTTCGCTCTGAATTAGGTCTTTCTTTCCAAGAACATAACCCTGTTCAAGCAACAAGATGGATTTTAGCCGAACCATTGTACCCATGTTGTTGGTTTTTTTTTTTTTTAATGTTTATATCCTTACCTTCTTGTAGGGAGCTATTGAACAAAATTTTATGAGCACCCATCGTTAAACACACAGTGAATTCTGCAGCGGTTGCTAGCCTCCTCACTAGAACAGGGGCCCTAGTTCACAGGGCCACACCTCTTAATCACCTGGATGTGCCCATCCATCTCTTCGTCTCTTCATCTTTACCATGTTCTTTTGTTTCTCTAAGAAAGTTGCCCTCTTCCCAGGAGTTATTTGCTTGAAGAGGATTGTAAGGCCATATGCAGTCTGATTTGAGGTGCTCATCAGTAGACTTTAAATATGGATCTGCGTGGGTCCTTGTGTGGGTCAAGTGCATCATTCTGGTATAGGTGGCTCTGATTGCAAAAGAAAGCCTGCTGATGTCAAGAGAGAGAGACTGGACATAGAGAAACCTGGATTCCAATGCTGGTGTCTCCACAGAGTAATGCATGTGTGTTTTAATTTCCTCTCTATGAAGTCCTTGCTCACCCCCTCAAGAAAATGCTTCAAATAAAGCTAATCTCTTTACTTCCCTCCCTCTCTGACATTTCAATGGGGTTTCTGCATGGTTTTTAGCCACAGTCAAAGCTGTTCCCAGATGAGCAAAACATGCACAAGCTTCCTAATATCCTTTTCAGAAATTTTAAAGTTATTGATTTGCTTGAATTTTTATTCCACCCGAGCCAAACTTTTGAGCCTGGGCAACCTATGTTAATCTTTTGAGGGAGGAGTGGTTCATTTATAGGTAGCTGATACTTTTCTGGCAATAAATAACTTCCCTTAAAAAGAATGCCTAAAATTACCCTCCCAGAGCTCTGGAGGAGCTGATGGTCTGCATGCATATGATCTCCTGACAGAAATTGGCACCTGTCACTGTCATCCCAGAAATGGAACTGCTACATCTGATGGGAGCCAAGCCTCGGGCAAGGGAATGGCTGTCAGTGCTGCCTCGAGAATGCCCAGGCACTTATGGTCCTTGTAGAATATTTCTGTCCGTCCACGTGACTGATGCACTTCTATTAATACTTCGTCATCTACTTAAGTTCTAACAAAAAAAAGAGAGCTTCTTGCCCACCTGTGTAAACATGAATAACTGGTGTTGGCATCACCAGAGCCTGTGTTTCATAGAACTAACAGACATGTGCTTCTGTGTGTATGCATATATGCATGTAGGCATACTCGCCATAAATAAATATGTAAATCTACATACATATATTTGTATAAAATATAGCACTGCATTCTGGGACAGATTTTTTTTCATAAAATAGTTGTAATATCCTTAAACTTAACGACAAAAAAACCCCAACACTTTCTACATGCTGTAATGAGATTATTTGGATGGATGGCCATTTTTACACCTAACTTAACTTCTTTTTTGTTTATTTGGTTTTCTTTCTTTTTTCCCCTATGGATAGAGTGGGGCACCTGCATGCTATAGTGCTTGTATGGAGTTTGGAGGACAGCTTTTCCAGGAGTTATGTAACAGGTCGTTCTTTGAACTGCCAGCTCCCAATAATGATGCAGAGATGTATTAATTATGGAAGCTTGACCTTAGCTTAGGCTTGTTCCCAACTAGCTCTTAAAACTTAAATTAACCCGTTTATATTAATCTGCATTCTGCTATGTGCCTCCATATCTCTTTTCAACTCTGTACATTTGACTTCCTCCACATCTCACTGGAGAATCCCCTTTTCTCAGATTCTTTCCCAAGTTCCTCTCTCTCTCTCTCTCTCTCTCTCTCTCTCTCTCTCTCTCTCTCTC